ATGATATATATATATATATCATATATATATATATGATATGATATGCTTAGTTGTTCTGCATATATGAAACAAATAAACATCAATTTTATTTTCTGAATATATTTAAAGACTTCTCAATTCTATAAATTAACATAAACATCAATTTTATTTTCTGAATATATTTAAAGACTTCTCAATTCTATAAATTAACATTGAGAGTTAAGTATACCAAGATTCAAATATCCTAAGTCATTATACTCCATCCTATCCAGGACAGACACTGGTTACAGCAAAAACATCTGTACCATATAAAGACTCCATGCTAGCTGCGTCATTGTCAATCAGTGCCGAAGCCACCCAAACTATCCCGAGAATCAGTAACGCAAGAAGCAGCAGCATGACCAGCGTCTCCAAAACACGGGCTCGGATTCCCTGAAAAATGTAATGGAAATACAATTTTAAGACTTCCTCACGGACAAGGGGAAAAAAATGAGAACCAAGACCTGTCATATAAAGGCACAAGATCCCAATAATGAACGTAATTGTACTGTATGCCTTAAATGTACCAATAAACTCAATTAATTTAAAAAAAAGATTTTCTTTCATAAACAATTAAGACTTCTGTCTGTATGAAAGCACAAAATAATTATTTGGAAGGGAAGAAAATTTATATTTATTAAATTTATATTATAAATATCACATCTAAATTTATATTTTTTAGAAAAAAACTAAATAGTTTATATGTTTAGGCTTCAAAAAAATGCTTTAAGCTTGAAACAAAATACAAAAAACTTCTTCACAAAAATATTTTACAGAACCACTTTAACAACTGATTACTTTCCTAACACCTTCCACAAAGAAAGCTGATTTATGAATTTCTCTCTGTGATTCTAACTGAGGACTCTCCGTGGGGCAGAAGTACAAAGTGCCCTTTCTCCGCAAGGTGTACTCCATGCAACTCCTCCCAGACTCTGGAGCCCTCTAGCGTGCAGATGAAGAATTATCCCCTGTAATCCAACATAAATGCCACGGGCAGCTATCAATTACATATCATTTCTTTGTTCCTCTTATTAGTGTATATTTGCAATACAGAAGAGTGGTGGTTGTGGTAGGGAGTTGGTAATGCGTATAATATATCCTGATCACTCTCAATCCCTTTCCCCAGTCCCCTTCAAAGCCCCTCTCCAAGTCTCCCTTCATACCATCTCTCCTTTATTTTATACTATTAATATTTTAGGCTTCTCCTTTTTTCATCTGATATATAATTTTCATTAATTCATGAGGCTGGAAAATATAATAAAGAATCACTATACATATTTTAAGTATAAAATAAATTCTGACCTCAGGGCCAAACTAGAAGCCACACTTCTATACTTGAAAAAATTTTCCCAACATGGCAAAAAGAGAAACTGCATTCTAGTCCCAAAAGTCACCATGTGACTGTTTCTATACCTAAATGTAAAGATGTATACTGATATTTTGTACTTGCAACACCTAACACAACAAAAAAGTATAACTGTATTTCTCATACATCATGTAACTTTTCATTCCACATTACGATAGTTTAAAGATGGAAGTTAATAAAGCCCAACACATGTACTCACTTCAGTTTTGGTGTATTCTTTTCCAACATCTGAATTTCAGGGATAGAGCCTACTTAATTGTAGCATCCCAGTTCAGCAAATCTAATACAGAACAGAAATGTCTACAGAGAAGTGTTCCCAGTCCCTACAACGGCCTCAGAGGGGCAGAGGCATTTTCTTACCAGTGTCACAGTCTTTCCACAGGACTGCCCTTGGCAGGCTTCAAATACTCCTAGAGATGTGAGTACTAGCTCACCTAGGTGTGCACTTCCCAGGAGACCAGTAAGCCAGAAGGAAACAGGTTTGCATCTTAACACAGCTCTACTGGAAGGCAGCCATTATTTGAAGAGAAGAAAGAGAAGTAGTCATAGAACACGCTATGACCAAACATGCTGCCAGGCACACTACTACTTTAATGTGGAATCCTCTACCCTCCACTGCATAGCTTCCAAACTATTCAGGATACCAAAACACCTCTTTTCAATGGTGATTTATCTCTCTCCTCCTTCCTTTCTCTTTTTCTAAGCAATAGTCTTTTTATTACAGAGGGGAAGCACCTATAAATAAGGCAGATAAGAGGAGGGGTGCTCTGGCAGGATGTGCTACACTTCCAGCTGTCTTCCCCAGTCCCCAGAAGGCCCTCAGGAATATGCACTGGGCTCCCCAAACATACAACATGCACGCTTTGCCCGTCAGGCTATCTGAACTACACAGTGCAATGGTGCTGGGTTATAATACAGAACTATACAGGAGGCTTTTGGGAACCATCTGAAATTTGATGTCCAAATAATAGTTTTAAAAATTATAACAGGCTAGTGAAGAAAATTCTTTTTCTTTCCCTCTCTCTTGTCTCTTTTTTCCTCTTTCCACCCTAAAATTTCTTTCTTTTTTCTGTCCTGTCTCTCCAACTCAGTCTCTTGCTCCACCATAGTGTCCCTCATCTCCCTTTTTATTCCAGTTCCTGAAGAACTCAGACTTCTTTTTTTATTTTTTGTTTTTAGGACGGGTTTCTCTTTATGTTCTTTTCTCCAGTCATTTTACCTCACTCATGGCTCTGTACCTTCAAGGGAAGGCAAGCGCCTGTTACTGTTAAGGGGATATATTCCTGTCCTTATTCCTGCACTCTCTCTATCCCCCCTGAACTTAATAGCTTTGTAAAGATAGTAAGGTAA